CCCCGACGACGAGACGTCTCAGCCTGGGCGCGATCCAACGATGCTTGGGAGACACGAGGCCGAGCTCGGCCAAGCTCACGTTCGCCTTCATCAAGAAGCAACATATGTGCGGCATGTACATGTTGACATGACGACTGGACGCGCGCACACTGAGACAAGCCGGCTGGAAAGTGAGCGGCGAGAGCAGGGTAGGTCTGAGTAGCAGCGTCTACCACGAGAAAGCCCCCATGCCCGCCATCCTCGCAAAGCTTGGAGCGCACGCGGGCGTTCACTTTCAAGAGAATCAGCGGGCCGACGAGAGAGCTCCTTTTTGCCTTCTTCGGCAACCTCGAACATCAAGTCTTTCAAAAGCGCCAAACGATCCCAGGGGGGCTCGACCTCAATCTGATCGGCCGCGACGGTGAGAAGCTCCTGAAACCTCTGGCGACGGGTAATCCATGGGAGAAGACGACGAGGGGCCTCGTGCGGGTCAAACTTCGAAATCGTGATCACAACAGGCAGGTGATCAGACACCATGCTAGACTGCAGCCACCCAACTACTCCCCCGCGAACCGTGAGGTCAGCGAGCAGAGGGGCAGGGAGTGCGCTGTACACGCGATCCAGCCTCGAAGTGTGCGTCAACGTGACGTCCATCGCCTCCCTCCTCGTATCTTCGGCCTGGTAGAGCTCCGCCCGCCTCCCACATTTCGTAAAGAAAAGAGCAGAGTGGCTGCCGCCTCCAGAGCTCCATCCACTCCCGTCGGCATCCTGAGCCGAGAGGGCGAAGTTCCAATCGCCCATAACGATAGTGCGACAGCTGGCAGCAGGCAGGATGCGCGCGCAGAGAAGGTCGAGAGCACGACGATATACGGTGAGAAACTCATCAGCGTTGGGCACGTGAACGTTGATAATGCATAGCTGACCAGAGACACCAGAAACAAGAGTAAGTAGGATGCGCCCTTCGACCACCACCTGATGGGAGATAGAGGAAAAGAGACGAAGAAGACGATGATACATACGAGTGATAAGACCACCCGCGTCCGTGGCATCGGAGAAGAGAGAGCGCCCAATCATGTAACCCGGTAGCTCTCGAGACAGCTCATTGCTATCCGCAATATGTTCATGGCACTCTTGTCCGCAAATCACATCATGCAGTTTGGTGTACTTGAGGAAACGAACGCGCCGCTTAGGAGCCTTGCTACTCGTGGAGCGAACTGCAGCGAAGAGCGCATTGGTGTTCCATGTGCACACGCGGAAAGAGAAGGGAGGGGAAACTTAAATGGGCCTGACCTGGCTAGAATCTGACAATGCGGAGGGGGAGAGGCAGGAACAGGAGAGGACAATCTATGCGATGCAGCAGATAGAGAGGCACGGATCGCAGCAGGAGCTGCTGCACCCGTGGCCGAGGGCACCCCAACGAACTCTTCAAAAGGGGGCGCCTTGGTTAAGGTGCTCCACTCCCTATTGTAAAATCCTCGAGCAACGGCGAGATCACAGAGTGGAACCCAGCAGCATTTTTTCTTGCAGCGACTGAATCTCAACCGTCGGGCGAGGGGTCCCAGGCTGGAGCTGACGGTGACGCAGCGCCACGGGGTCTTCGCTAGTCCTGCGCAGGAAGGTGTCGCCCCCCAAGTCCGTTCGACCCAAACTCTCCTCCTGAAGGGGGACGTGACGCCGACGACAGGAAGCCCGCGGATCTCACCCATGGCGAGGAAGAGGGGGCGGGCCCCCTGGCCATCGCTCAGACGTCCATTTCCTCTGATTTTGTTCGGTTTCGTGCGTGGTTTTTTTTTTTTTCGCGAAATGATCAAGGATCCTCCTCGATGGTCCTCGCCGAAGGAAAAATGCACACGTCCGAGCGATGCCAAGTCCCTGGCGCCATGTCCCGCTTCGCTCGGAGCGCGATCGTCTGTCCTGGATGAAGTGGATCAGGGGATTGGAGAGGTTGCCGAGGGGCGAGGTTGGTGAGGAGGTCGGTGGCCCTCCGGGGGTCCGAAAAGTCGAGCGTTACCTCCCGCGTCATGTCGAAAGCCCGGACGACAGGCTGCGCAGGAGCGAGAGGAGCACCTGCCTGGAGGAACATCTCTGCGGCTCTGGTGAGCGACGTCTTCATCATCTTGCGAGGGAAGCCGATGATCCCAACCGTGTGCGCTCGCTCCATCGCCGCTTGGTGCTGACTAGATCCCGCGGTGGAGCTCGGAACAGGAGCAGGAGGAGAGACGATGGCAGGGAGCTGCGCCTGAATGTTCTCGATCTTCGCCGAGACGGCCAGGTCGACTGCCTGCGAGACCATTGACGCGAGCCCGCCGTTCTCGAGCTTGTCCATGCGGGTCGAGATCAGCTGGGCGTTCTTGTCGTGGGTGGAGAGTGCCAAGCGAACCTCCATGATGTCCTGTTGCATCGAGTGTTCCATCCTGGCAGTCGTGGCGTTGCTGCCGCGGACGGTCCGGAGCAGCTCACTTACCCAAGACGGGCTGGCATCCAAAGGATCACGAAGAGCACAGGCTTTGGGAGAACAACAGGAAGCGGCCCAGGGGACTGCGCGTCGGCAGTGGGGAAAACGGGCCACCGATGCCTCGCGAAGACGGGCCGCGCACAGACCGGCGCTTCGCGGCCAGAGCAGGGCGAACGTCGTCTCTTCCCGCCCCGCCGGCTACATGCCCATCCGTACGTGCTCCTGCTTGCGCGGATGTCACACGCGAGACCAGCACGTGCAGACTGAATGGGGCCCTGGGACACACAAGTGAATAGACACAAATAACAGGATTCCCCATATATATATATATATATATACATATCCCCATACTTTCTACATGTCTGTGCTCCCCCCTATTTCCAATAGTTTCCCATATTTTCGAAGGAAAAGACAAGTAATTGCGTCTGTGTTGTTCTCCCTCCTGACAGACGCACGTGTGTGAAAGCCCGTCTGTGCGTGCTGGATGTCCCGTGCGGGGCGAACACGAACAGACCAGCACTTGGCGACAAAGGCGTGGTGTAGGTCGGGTGCGTCGCCGCATCCCCTGGCAGTCTCGTGGGGGACAGGGGCCACTGGAACTCTTCAGGGAGTGCTTTGGGGTGGTGGAGCAGAGAAAGGCCGAAACGAGAAGCCGCCAACAAGTCTATTTGGACGCCCGAAATGGGTACGGAAAGAATGGGTACAATGCCCAACAACAGCTCCTGTTCATTATGAACAGGACTCGCTGTCGGTGTCGCCGCGGCCTGTGTCCATTTGAAGGAGAAGGCCGCCTGCCCAACAGCGGCCGCTGTTGGTTTGGGACAACATCTGTTGTTGAGCATTGTACCCAGATTTCGTAATAAAGGGAGGGGGGTCTCATTTCGGGGGGGGGTCTCTTCCAGGCTATCTTGGAAGGCCTGGGGGGTCTGGGGACGATGTTTTGGAGGGTTCTCCCACGGGGGAGGTCTGAAATGCCTTGTCTTGAAGGGTCCAGACCCCCTCCCTTTTATTACGAAATCTGGAGTACCCACTTCGGGCGTCCCAAGTCTGGCCACCAAACACCAACAAGCTCCCACCCCGACGGGAGGCACCGCAGGCGGGCAGACCAGCCGGCGGGCCATCCTCCCCGATCCTCGGGGGCGGCCAAAGAGGGGGGTGTCCAAGCGAGGGGGGGGATGCAAATCATGACCGGCGGCACGTGCGCGGCCCGGCGGGGGGGCCAGGGACGTGATGAAATCAGAAGAGGCGCCATGAGATCTGGGGAACCAGCATGGCCCCCGCCATGATATCCCCCCCCCTTAGTCATCACCGCCCTCTTTTCCGCCCCCGAGATCCACGGACTCCAGCCAAGAAGGGCTTGGCACCGGAAGCCCGCCCCTCCGCGGCCCCCGCTGGGCGGCCCTGTCCCGGAGAAGCGCCCCGCGCGGAGGCCGCAGCCCAGGGGGGGGAAAAAAACGCCGACACGGCAGGATCGTGCCGTCGGGAGCCCCTACTCTTCGAAGCCAGCAGCCCCGACCTGTCGCGCGGGGGTCTATCTCTTCGCGTCCTAGATCCGATTCCTCTCGCCCCTCTTACATCCGTCGGTAGCATCACGGGGCAATGTTTAACACATGGGATTTTTTAAATACGAGATGCTTAATACATGACGGAATTATGAATAAATGTATGCATGAACTCATCGTCGTTTTTTAATACTAAATCCATGCATTTTTAATACATGATCCGCACGCGGAGCATGTATAAAAAACGGCATCGTGCTTCAATCCGCGGCCCCAGAAGTCCAGACCGCCTCCCGGGTCCCCGCTGGATGCCCCTGTCCCGAAGACGCCCCGCGCAGGCCGAGGAGGTCGACGGTGGCCGCGCGCACTGGGGCACCAGGTGGAGCTCCATGGAGCTCCCTCTCCCTCCTCCTCCTCCTCCTCCTCCTCCTCCTCCTCCTCCTCCTCCTCCCTCTGCTGTTGTCTCCGCCTCGGCGCCCCCCCCCCCATGCTCCTGCCACCTTCCTCCCCCCCCTTGTTTCTCTCGTCCTCTCTCCCCCCTCCCTCCTCCCTCGGCCCTCCCTCCTGCCCCCCGCCCCCTCGTTCTCGTCACTCTCGGCCCCCCTCCCTCCTCCCCTTTTGTCCGTCCTCCGTCCCGTCCCCACCCCGCGAGGCCGTGCCGAGGTGGACGTGCCGCGGGCGGGGAGCCGCGCGTGGCCGCGCGCCCTGGGGCCTCGGGTGGAGCTCCCGCTGGGGCCATGGCATCACAGGAGCACACCATCTTCAGGAGCGGCCAAGAGGGGGGTGTCCAAGAGGGGGGGTGCAAATCATGACCGTCGGCACGTGCGCGGCCCAGCGGGGGGGCCAGGGACGTCATGAACCAAGAAGAGGCGCCATGAAATCTGGGGAAATATCATGGCCCACGCCATGATATCCACCCCCCCCCCTAGTCATCACACCCCTCTTTTCCGCCCCCGACATCTGGGAATGCAGGTCGCCGAGCCCTGGGAGGGCAGCGGACGGGCGGGTGCCACTGGTATCGGTATCTTGCCTCTCCTCTGACGCTCCGCTGCCTTGCCCCTCGGGTCCTTCCAGAGAGGTGTCCAGCGCCGCCCTCAGGGTGGTGACGGCCGGATCCGCCTCGAGCACTGCTACCTTCGCCCCGGTGATGCGCAGGGCAGGTCTCGCGTCGCCGTCTGGGGCCGCGCCGGCAGGGCCTCTCGGGAAGGGGGCGGCAACGAGGCAGCGGGGAGGAAGAGGTCAGGTAGCGACTTCTGGGAGGTCTTCGTAAGAACGATTACGGGCTACGACGGCCTGTGAGAAGGGGGCACCAAGCCCGACCCAGCCCAAATGAAGCCCAGGGTTCAGCTGGGGCTGCGCAGGATTAGACCGGAGTGCTCTGGTTGTCGACCACGGACGTACCAGAACCAATGCTGAATGAAACCTGCAAGGAGTTGCAACCGAGAGAGGTCACGTACGATCCAAGGTTGCCCCCCCCCCCCCGCCCCCCCCCCGTGCATGTTGGATCGAGCCCCCCCTCGCTGGATGGGTACACCACGCGAAATGATTAAGAAATCATGGGTTAAGAAATTAATGGTCTCAGAACTTGAATAAAAACCCAAAAATTCGATCAAAATCTTAGGATTTACATTGAAACGTTAAGAATAATCGAGACTCTGGCCGAAAACTTAAGTTTTCTTAAGCATCGCCTAAGGTGTACGCCCGCGAGCCTCGCGAAGGCTTCGCGAATGGGATCGTGGCCCTGTGGGCGCGGCGTGGGGGAGGGTGCCAGTGCTCCCTCTTCCCCTGTGGGCGTGGGGTGGCTCGTCGTCGTCTTCGTCGTCGTCGGTCTTCGGTCGTCGGTCGTCGTCGTCGTCGTCGTCGTCGTCGTCGCCGTCGTCGTCGTCGTTGTCGTTGTCGTCCATCGTCCGTCGTCCGTCGTCCGTCGGCGTCGGCTTCGGTGCCGGCGTCGGCTTCGGCGTCGTCGTCGGCGTCGTTGGCGGCGGCGGTGGCAGCGGCGTCGGCGTCGAGGAGCTGTGAACCCTCGACTTGGCACCATATGTGCCTATTCCTTTGGGCTTCGCGAGGACAGTCCCCACCTAGGAGGGTGGGCTCGTGAGACTGGGATCCAATGGCCCTGCGCGGATAGGTTAGACGATGCTGAGGAGAGGTAGGGCAAGGAGGAGGGATGCCCTTGCGGGCCCACGGTCGTTTTCCATGTCTTCATGCCTCTCTTTTTTTCCGCTGCGCCAGCCAGGCATTATTATCTTACATGAAGCCTCACACGGTGTGTTTCTTTCAAGACGCAACAAGCTCGCGCTTCATGTATGGCCAACGTCACAAAGGAGGAAGGAGGAGGCAGGAGAAGAAAGGAAGGGCCCACAACTCCGACGACGTGGCAATTCAACCACGTGGACGCTCCCGAAGTCTCGGCCCCCTTTCTCTGGGCGCGGCCTGACGGCCCCAGGGCCTGGTGAGGGCCCCATGGAGGCCCAAAACTATAAGAAACCTTTCGGCCGTGATTGTCTTCGCGACTTCAGGGGGGTTCGTTTCCGGGTCCTAACTCGGATCCCTTGCGGCACCTTCGGGCCGATTCGGGTGCCCACATGATGCCTTGGCGGAACGCAGCTGCCGGAAAGCATCTCGAAGCTGGTACGCCTCCAGAAGCCGTCCAAAACGGACGAAACTATACATCCACGATCCATAGCCTCCAGAGAACCGCCCGCCTCACACCACATCACGTCCGACCAGCCATAACTGGGGGAGCTGTGGTCCTTACCCCCCTGGGGGAACCCATCGCATCGACGATCTCTCGAGAGGGGTGTCGAAATCGATGGGTCCCCCAGGGGGGGGTGAGGACCACAGCTCCCCCAGTTGTGGCTGGCCCTCGCGTGCCGGCCAGGATCTCGGCGCGCAGCCGCCCGCCGCGCCGTGGGGGCCCAGGGCGTGCCAGACCAAGAAGCACACCATCCTCAGTCCGGGGAGAAGGGAGGACACTGGGACGGTACCGGTGTCGTGTTGAGATCAGGTCGGGAAAGTTTTACCAGCCTGGAACATGTCCCTATGCCTATGCCGGGCACCTCCTCATCACGATGCCAATCTTAGGGGTTCCCTTACATTTTGGGGGCGAATCCCTAAGTTTGTCATCGCCTTTTGGCGTGTCAATCTTAGGGATAGGGATACGCTCGAGGCTGGTAAGAGGACAATGGGACGGTACCGGTGTCGTGTTGAGATTAGCTCGGGACAAGTTCCAAGAACTTCGGAGTATCTAGCGGCCACCGTTTCCGGAGCCCGTGCGGAGAGCTTTGCAAGTGTTGGGAGTCGCCAGCACCTTGCAGATCCTGGGAGGTGTAGCTATGGTGACTTGAGACCGTCGATCCTCGAACCCACATCCTCCGCCGTTTTCCTCGAGGGAAGGGACGGGGAAACCAACATGCACCGATACTGCTACTCCCCGGACCTCTCCCAAGGCGCGTTCTGACCAGGATTTCGAGACGAGTGCCTGCCTGGAGGCCCAGAGAGGCGAAAATGAAGCAGGGGCAGCGGCATGGGTACCTTCTCGGCGTCGAGCGAGGGGGGGAAGTGAGA